TCTGCCAGGGCCCCAATAGTCCCAGGGGGCCTTTCCAGGTTGCAGGGCCCCGGGAACAGAGGGCTGTCTCCCCCCCAAACAAAAAAATTTTTTCGGAACCATGTTAAACCGACAAGGGGTACTTTGGGTAAAGCTCTCCCGCCCCAAAGGAAGGGTTTCCAAAATCCCATGCTGGCCCCAGGTTTCTCGGGGTTGTAAGGGGGCCTAAAATCCCCATCCCATTTCCCAAGGCCACCTTTAAAATTTCCTAAACTTTGGGGCCTTTTTTGCCATTCCTGAAAAGACACCCCCTTGGGGCTGGCCGGCCCAAACAATTTTCCAAACCCCATCCGCTTATCTGGCTTTTGAAACAAGGTGGAATTCAACCCTACAATGTTAGCCCGCCTTTAGGGCCAGCAATAAGGCCATCCCCGATTTCCGGGATGTTAAAAGCGGTTTAAAGGAAAAACCCCCCTGTGTAACTTCGATGTAAACTTTGGCAGCTCATGGTGAAAACCTGCGCTTGCTCGGCCCCTTTGAGGAGGCACGCTATAGTGAGTCTGCAGGCGACTAATGGGATGAACGGACGTCAATCTCTCTGTTGGACACGTCCTTGACATCACAATAATGATGTCGTTAAAACAATGGCTGGTCAGGAGGTGGGTGCGGTAGACCGTGGCATACACAGATTCTCAACGACACTTGATCCCCTGTTGGGGGAGCAGGCCAGGAAGAAGATGGAGGAGGTATGAGCGCGGTCATTTGTGCCTCAGGAAATTATTGGAGTGAATATGGGTGGTTGTTCCACTCAGCGGGACAGGAGTGGAGGGACGCTGGAGCATCTTGGGTAGGGAGGAGGAGGAGGGAGACAGAGGACCCAGACGCACCGTGGCAGTATTGCTGTGGAAGGCATGGAGGCCAGGGAGGTCCTTCTCGCATTCCTTGGCACAAATGGCCCATTAGCATGCTCAGGCTTGCTTGTGTTGCGACAGGCCGCAATAATAACCTATCAGACAGAGGGGGATGACTTTTTGGCTGTTCCACACCTTGTTGGACCCTCGCTCTTAGCCCTCCAAAAATGGCATGGCCTTTTTCACACCTGCTGAGAGGGAAGGCCAAAATAACTGTACCTATTAAAATAACCCCTAGGATCCGTCAGTTGGGTCTTCTCGCCTGTGCTGTGCGCCATAAGTCCCTCGCCTCAGCTCTCTGTGGGACCCTGTGCGCTCGCGTTTCCGCTGGCATGGCAGCAGTGGGGGGTGGGGCTGGGGTCGGTAGAAGCAGTGGCAGCTCCACCTCAGCAGCCGGGTGCCTTCATGTCTGCTAGTCGATGATGAGTAGCTTTCTTTCACCAGCGCACCAGTGACGGAGGAAAACTACTATCCCCAGCCGCAGCAGCAGCGTAGCAGCATCAGGTGGACCTGGAGCAGGACGCTCTCAAACAACAGGCTTGGGCACCTACTTGGACAGCACCCTGCCAACCGAGGTAGACAATCCCTTGAATACTGGGCAACGAAACTTGATCTTTGCGCCCCAACTAGGCTGAAATTAAATTTGCCCTTGAAAATGGCTGTCCATGCCCCGGCCGAGTAGGACTAAATCCGCCATGAATCTTGCCTCAAACATGTGCCACTTTCAGGTCTCCTGCACACACTGCTGGTGTGTTCCATTTTTTTGACATAGGGTGCTGGCAGATTACGGGCCTCCCATAGCTGCTGCCAGGCCCCTAATCTGCCATGGGCCCATATATACCGCCTCCTCATGCTGCTGCCAGGTCCAGAGTCTCTCATGGGTCCCTGTACGGCCCTCCCATTGCTGCTGTCTCCATCGCCACAACTCTGCCATGTGCCACTTTCAGGTCTCCTCACCACACTGTGGTGTTGTAGAATTTTTTGACATAGGGTGCTGGCAGATTACGGGCCTCCTATAGCTGCTGCAGGCCCCTATCTGCCATGGGGGCTCCTCATGCTGCTGCCAGGTCCAGAGTCCTAATCTGCCATTGCTGCTGGGCCACACTCCCCATGTGCCACTTTCAGGTCTCCTCACACACTGCTGGTGTGTAGAATTTTTTGACATAGGGTGCTGGCAGATTATGGCCTCCCATAGCTGCTGCCAGGCCCCTAATCTGCCATGGCTATACCGGGGCCCCTATATTCGCGCCTCCTCATGCTGCTGCCAGGTCCAGAGTCTCTCATGGGTCCCTGTACGGCCTCCCATTGCTGCTGTCTCCATCGCCACACTCTGCCATGTGCCACTTTCAGTCTCCTCACACACTGCTGGTGTGTTAGAATTTTTTGACATAGGGTGCTGGCAGATTACGGGCCTCCCTATAGCTGCTGCCCAGGCCCCTAATCTGCCATAGGCCCCTATATACCGCCTCCTCATGCTGCTGCCAGGTCCAGAGTCTCTCATGGGTCCCTGTACGGCCTCCCATTGCTGCTGTCTCCATCGCCACACTCTGCCATGTGCCACTTTCAGGTCTCCTCACACACTGCTGGTGTGTTGAATTTTTTGACATAGGGTGCTGGCAGATTACGGGCCTCCTATAGCTGCTGCCAGGCCCCTAATCTGCCATAGGCCCCTATATACCGCCTCCTCATGCTGCTGCCAGGTCCAGAGTCTCTCATGGGTCCCTGTACGGCCTCCCATTGCTGCTGTCTCCATCGCCACACTCTGCCATGTGCCACTTTCAGGTCTCCTCACACACTGCTGGTGTGTAGAATTTTTTGACATAGGGTGCTGGCAGATTACGGGCCTCCCATAGCTGCTGCCAGGCCCCTAATCTGCCATGGGCCCCTATATACCGCCTCCTCATGCTGCTGCCAGGTCCAGAGTCTCTCATGGGTCCCTGTACGGCCTCCCATTGCTGCTGTCTCCATCGCCACACTCTGCCATGTGCCACTTTCAGGTCTCCTCACACACTGCTGGTGTGTAGAATTTTTTGACATAGGGTGCTGGCAGATTACGGGCCTCCCATAGCTGCTGCCAGGCCCCTATCTGCCATGGGCCCCTATATACCGCCTCCTCATGCTGCTGCCAAGTCCAGAGTCTCTCATGGGTCCCTGTACGGCCTCCCATTGCTGCTGTCTCCATCGCCACACTCTGCCATGTGCCACTTTCAGGTCTCCTCACACACTGCTGGTGTGTTGAATTTTTTGACATAGGGTGCTGGCAGATTACGGGCCTCCCTATAGCTGCTGCCAGGCCCCTAATCTGCCATGGGCCCCCCTATATACCGCCTCCTCATGCTGCTGCCAGGTCCAGAGTCTCTCATGGGTCCCTGTACGGCCTCCCATTGCTGCTGTCTCCATCGCCACACTCTGCCATGTGCCACTTTCAGGTCTCCTCACACACTGCTGGTGTGTAGAATTTTTTGACATAGGGTGCTGGCAGATTACGGGCCTCCATAGCTGCTGCCAGGCCCCTAATCTGCCATAGGCCCCTATATACCGCCTCCTCATGCTGCTGCCAGGTCCAGAGTCTCTCATGGGTCCCTGTACGGCCTCCCATTGCTGCTGTCTCCATCGCCACACTCTGCCATGTGCCACTTTCAGGTCTCCTCACACACTGCTGGTGTGTTGAATTTTTTGACATAGGGTGCTGGCAGATTACGGGCCTCCTATAGCTGCTGCCAGGCCCCTAATCTGCCATGGGCCCCTATATACCGCCTCCTCATGCTGCTGCCAGGTCCAGAGTCTCTCATGGGTCCCTGTACGGCCTCCCATTGCTGCTGTCTCCATCGCCACACTCTGCCATGTGCCACTTTCAGGTCTCCTCACACACTGCTGGTGTGTAGAATTTTTTGACATAGGGTGCTGGCAGATTACGGGCCTCCTATAGCTGCTGCCAGGCCCCTAATCTGCCATGGGCCCCTATATACCGCCTCCTCATGCTGCTGCCAGGTCCAGAGTCTCTCATGGGTCCCTGTACGGCCTCCCATTGCTGCTGTCTCCATCGCCACACTCTGCCATGTGCCACTTTCAGGTCTCCTCACACTGCTGGTGTGTTGAATTTTTTGACATAGGGTGCTGGCAGATTACGGGCCTCCTATAGCTGCTGCCAGGCCCCTAATCTGCCATGGGCCCCTATATACCGCCTCCTCATGCTGCTGCCAGGTCCAGAGTCTCTCATGGGTCCCTGTACGGCCTCCCATTGCTGCTGTCTCCATCGCCACACTCTGCCATGTGCCACTTTCAGGTCTCCTCACACTGCTGGTGTGTAGAATTTTTTTGACATAGGGTGCTGGCAGATTACGGGCCTCCTATAGCTGCTGCCAGGCCCCTAATCTGCCATGGGCCCCTATATACCGCCTCCTCATGCTGCTGCCAGGTCCAGAGTCTCTCATGGGTCCCTGTACGGCCTCCCATTGCTGCTGTCTCCATCGCCACACTCTGCCATGTGCCACTTTCAGGTCTCCTCACACTGCTGGTGTGTAGAATTTTTTGACATAGGGTGCTGGCAGATTACGGGCCTCCTATAGCTGCTGCCAGGCCCCTAATCTGCCATAGGCCCCTATATACCGCCTCCTCATGCTGCTGCCAGGTCCAGAGTCTCTCATGGGTCCCTGTACGGCCTCCCATTGCTGCTGTCTCCATCGCCACACTCTGCCATGTGCCACTTTCAGGTCTCCTCACACACTGCTGGTGTGTTAGAATTTTTTGACATAGGGTGCTGGCAGATTACGGGCCTCCTATATAGCTGCTGCCAGGCCCCTAATCTGCCATGGGCCCCTATATACCGCCTCCTCATGCTGCTGCCAAGTCCAGAGTCTCTCATGGGTCCCTGTACGGCCTCCCATTGCTGCTGCCAGGAGCGGCAGCAGGGTCGCAGCAGTGTCAGTGGAGGCAAACGGCCACAGAGTAGAGCACCAGCTCCACTGCAGCCTACCACCATGGCCAGTAGTGGTGCCGGTGTGCACGGAGGAAGTAGCAGTCAGCCAGTGAGGAGTAGCGGAGGCAAAGTTTCCTACTCTGCGGTGTTGGGTGTGGCAATTTTTCGTCAAGCCGCCCGAGGAAGTAAACGTAGCCGTATGTCGACTATGTGGCCAGAAAGTCAAGCGTGGCCAGTAGGCCCATGTTGGGACTACAGCGTTGCGTCAGCATATGCAGCGTCGCCATTCGGTGGCCTGGGAAAACCGTGATAAAGATACGGCGGTTCTGCCTGCCCCAGCCCAGGGTTCCATTTTGTCATAGGGTGCTGGCAGATTACAGGCCTCCCATAGGTGCCGCCAGGCCCCAAATCGGCCATGGGCCCCCGTACCGCCTGGTCACGCTGCTGCTGAGCCCACAGTGTGACCTGGGTCCCTGTACGGCCTCCCATTGCTTTCACTTGCCATGTGCCACTTTGAAATCTCCTCACACTCCTGCGGTTGTCCATTTTGTCATAGGTTGCTGGCAGATTACAGGCCTTCCATAGGTGCCACCAGGCCCCAAATCGGCCATGGGCCCCCGTACCGCCTGGTCACGCTGCTGCTGAGCCCACAGTGTGACCTGGGTCCCTGTACCGCCTCCCATTGCTCCCACTCTGCCATGTGCCACTTTGAGGTCTCCTCACACTGCTGGTGTGTTCAATTTTTTGACATAGGGTGCTGGCAGATTACGGGCCTCCCATTGCTGCTGCCAGGCACGTAATCTGCCATGGGCCCCCGTACCGACTCCTCATGCTGTGACGTTGCAACAATGTGGAATTCAACACTACATATGTTAGACCGCCTTTACGAACAGCGAAAGGCCATCACAGATTTCCTGATGTTAAAAGCGGATAAAGGTACTCCCTGTGTAACTTAGATGTCAGCCATTGGCAGCTCATGCGTGACACCTGCGCTTGCTCAGGCCCTTTGAGGAGGCCACGCTATTCGTGAGTCGGCAGGACTATGGGATGAACGAGGTCAAATCGGCCATGGGCCCCCGTACCGCCTGTTCACGCTGATGCTGGTCCCACAGTGTGACCTGGGTCCCTGTACCGCCTCCCATTGCTCCCACTCTGCCATGTGCCACTTTGAGGTCTCCTCACACTCCTGCGGTTTTCCATTTTGTCATAGGTTGCTGGCAGGTTACAGGCCTCCCATAGGTGCTGCCAGGCCCCAAATCTGCCATGGGCCCCCGTACCGCCTGGTCACGCTGCTGCTGGGCCCACAGTGTGACCTGGGTCCCTGTACCGCCTCCCATTGCTCCCACTCTGCCATGTGCCACTTTCAGGTCTCCTCACACTCCTGCTGGTTTCCATTTTGTCATAGGTTGCTGTATGGCCTGCCATTGCTGCTGCCTCCACCGCCACACTGTGGCTCCAAACACTGGTTTTGGCCCCGTGACTGGCCAAATGAGTGAAGTGTGCGGTGATTCTAAGATCGACGGCACTCATCTGCATGTCATACTGAGTGACAGTATTATTTCTCTTCCCCAGCAGACTCCAAGGGCATTTAAATTAAAGGTACAGTGTTCTGCACTAATATTAAGTCTCTCTGAAGCCTAGAAACACCCTTTTTTAAGTTAAATTCACAGCGAATTTATTCGACTCGAATCGAATATTGTCCACGAATTCGCCGAATCAGTCGAATCGAATTTTTCATTTCTTCGCTCATCTCTAATTCTGATGGTTATAATAATAAAAAAAAAAAAAAAAAAAAAAAAACAAACATGATATACTTACCTGCTCAGTACAATGGTTTTGCCCAAGTCAGCACCAATCCCGCCGGCAGTCCTGGCTTCTGCCCTTCCCCGAGTGCCCACAATCGCAAACCTCTTGTTAAGGGGGCACTTGAGCAGGCTTGCTCCTGAGCCATGCTCCTGTGAATGGAAACACACAGTGTTTGGCTCGCCCCCCCCCCCCCCTTGCTCTCTCCTCATTGAATCACTGGCTGTGATAGACAGCAACAGGAGCCAATGGCTCCCTCTGCTGTGCGAGCCAATGAGGAGAGAGAGACCCGGGAGAGCCATGGCTTTCATGCACATCACTGGATTGAGATGGGGCTTAGGTAACTTTAAGGTGCGACACAGTGGCTTAGTGGTTAGCCCTTCCACCTGGCAGTACTAGGAGCGTTGTTTTGAATCCTAACCATGGCACCACCTGCCTGGAGTTTGCATATTCTCCCTGTGCCTGCGTGGGTTTCCTCCAGGTACTCCGGTTTCCTCCTACACACCAAAGACAAGCAGGTAGGTTAATGGGATCCTGTCTAAATTGTCTATAGTATGTGTATCTATGAATGTAAGTTAGGGACCTTAGATTGTACACCCCTTGAGGGTTAGGGACTGATGTGAATGTACAATAGGATACCCCAACTTAGTGTATATTATTTAGTCTGTTATAGAGTCCACAAACCATTGTATATATATCTGATAATCGAACAATCCTGACATACTGATTGGGCAGCACAGTGGCTAGATGGTTAGCACTTCCACCTGGCAGTACTAGAAACATCAGTTCAAATCACAACCACGGCACCATGTGCCTGGAGTTTGCATGTTCTCCCTGTACCTGTGTGGGTTTCCTCCCACACTCCAAAGACATGCTGTTAGGTTAATTGGCTCCTGTCTAAGTTGGCCCTAGTGTGTGAATGTATGAATGTAAGTTAGGGACTTTAGATTGTATACCCCTTGAGGGTTAGAGACTGATGTGAATGTACAATATGTATGTAAAGCACTGTGTAAATTGATGGTGCTATATAAGTACCTGAAATAAATAAATACTGATGGCTCGCCTCATTTCTTGAGGCCCAAAAACGCCAGGATAGTACAAATACCGCCAAAATCACCCATTTTTGGAAAATAGACAGTTCAAGGTATTTAGTAAGAGGCAGGTGAGTGAGTTTTTTGGAGGTTGTAATTTTTGTTACAATTTTTTGGAAAATGTAGAAATTGAAAAAAAACAAATCACTATTTTTTTTTACATATTGTCACCAGTCCAGTGACTGGTGACAGTATGTAAATAAATTAAACAAAATAATAATAATTTTAATTTTCTATTATTTTTTACATTTTTTATTACATTATTTTTTCTTTTTTGTACTATTTATTTTTTCAACACACTCTGACCAAAGTAATACAATGTTACCATAGTAACATTGAACTGCTCTGGGCAAGTGATCAGGATATTTATTTATTTTTTTTAACACATTATGATTGCTAATACTAATGTATTTAATTGATATTTGCAATCATTGTTACTGAATGAAACTGATTCATTCAGTCTTTTGTTGTGATTAGCTGATTGAGCAAAGCTCATCACATGATACAGATGGGCTGTGATTGGCCCTGTCTGTATCATGTGACTGCTTTGACCAATCACAGCTAACAACATAATTGTATACAATGGATAGCATGACAGGAAGCCATCCATTGTATACAATTGACGTGATCTGCTGTGATTGGTCACAGCAGTCACATGACACTGGCAACAGGCCGGTGTAGTGATATGTCATCGGCTGTGTCACGTGGACACAGCCGGTGACAGATCACGCAGCTGTGCGGCCCCACAGCCACGTGACTGGCTCCTTTTGACAGGACGTCATATGATGCCCAGTCACAATGAGGAGTGTCCTGCCCGGCCGTTAATCTACTATAGGCCAGGTGGGAAGGTGTTAAACAATGCTTATTTTCTAGTGTTTTTCAGGTGTTTTTTTTAAGTCCATGGGGCCAAAAAACTCCCAATTCTGCTTTCTGTATTTTTTTGATCTTCAGGCGTTGAGCTCCAGGTGCCAATCACTCATGTGCAGGGATGGACTGACAACTCATGGGGCCCCCGGGCAATAGGGGATCATGGGGCCCCTGTGTCCTTGCCCATACTGAAAAGAGCCTATGAAAAAGGTACCAGGGGCATCTCATGGGGCCTCCTACTGACCCCGGGCCCTTAGGCAGTGCCCGAGTGCTCGAATGGTCAGTCCGCCCCTGCTCATGGGACAATTTTGGTTGTTGAGCGTTTCGGAGCCTTGAGCTTCAAGATACAAAATGCTTAGGTGTGAATCAGGGCTAAAATAAACAATATCGAAACAAATTGATATGTAGTTTTAAAAACAATAAAAGATTTAATCATGAATACCGAGATGTATACATTTGTGTCTTTTGTATCTGCCTGGAGTTTAGCTTTAAACTGATAATAAACCCTCATTTTTGAAGCACTTTCAACAGCTGATTTACTCCTCTCCTTTCAGCCACTATTACTTCTCCTGTCCTGACTTTACTGATTATATTACTTTACTGCGCTGGGGTTCCTCCCCCCCCTTGTCCCAGTCCTCAGTGCAGTAATGGGGAGGAGCTCAGCGGGTATGGGTACAATGTCCACGGGGGGGCTGGTGTGGGGGCACAACTAAAATCTGGGAGGGTGCAGCCAACCCCAACACCCCCCTTGTTTGGGCCATGCCTTGCATGCAGGGACTTGAATTATGTCTCCCAACACTGAGTGCATCAATAGAAACACACAGCCTCATAGTTAGTAAAGGATGGTAAGGTGCTCCCCTGTTTGTCCTCACCCTCCACCCCCATCCATTCTTCAAGCTAACAGACTGACTGGAGCCTGTACTGCCCACTGTTAACTCTTTCCTCTGAAGAGCAGATATTCAGGGAAGCAGCACCGAGACAGCAGGAGCCATCAGCATTGAAAGTTGTAAACTGAAAGTGCTGGGGTAAGAATTAAAAATAAAATAGTTTAAAAAGTTTACCTGGGTATGTTTAGTTTATTGTGTTCAATGAGTTAAGCTAAAAAACACTGAGGGTTTAACACTACTTTAACCGCCTCCCGCCCGCCACATAAGGTAATGACAGGTGCAAGGCGGTTCTTTTGTTCTGGAAGGACATCATATGATGCCCTCCCACTCTAACCACGCATGCGCGCCCCAGGGGGTGTGCAGCATGGCGATTGGTGGTGAGCTGTATCCCTGGGACACAGCGGATCACCGATCAGTGGAAAGAGCCAATGACTTCAGCTCTGTCATGTGATCAGCTGTGTCCAATCACAGCTGATCGCATGTAAATAAAGAAATGCCGGTAATCTGCATTCCTCAGAGGGGACATCTACACTGATAATCAGGGCACTGGTGATCAATGCCCTGATGATCAGTGTAGCCCTATCAGTGCCACATGTCAGTGCCCATCAATGCCACATGTCAGTGCCCATCAGTGCACACCAATGCCACATATCATTGCCCATCTGAGCTGCCTTTCAGTGCCAACTATCAGTGCCAGTCAGTGCCACCTATCAGTGCCAGTCACTGCCAGTCAGTGCCACCTATCCGTGCCAGTCAGTGCCACCTATCAGTGCTCAGCAATGCTGCCTATCAGTGCCCGTCAGTTCCACCTAACAGTTCCAGTCAGTGCCACCTAACAGTGCCAGTCAGCGCCGCCTATCAGTGCCAGTCAGTGCCACCTATCAGTGCCAGTCAGTGCTGCCTATCAGTGCTGCCTATAAGTGCCATATATGAGTACTGCCTTTCAGTGTCCATCAGTGATGTCTGTAAATGCCCACCAGTGATACCTGTCAATGTCCATCAGTGCCACCTACCAGTGCCTCCTCATCAGTGCCCAGCAGTGCCGCCTATCAGTGCCCATCAGTTCCACCTATCAGTGCCCATCAGTGCAGCCTATCAGTGCCCATCAGTGCAGCCTATCAGTGCCCATCACTGCAGTCTCATTAGCACACATCAGTGAAGGAGAAAAATTACTCATTTACAAAATTTTCTAACAGAAACTAAGAAAAACATTTTTTTTCAAAATTTTCAGCAGTTTTTGGTTTGTTTATCAAAAAATAAAAAAAAACCAGAGGTGATTAAATACTACCAAAAGAAAGCTCTATCTATCTCAAAAAGGGTATATATGGGTACAGTGTTGCATGACCGCGCAATTGTCATTCAAAGTGTGCCAGTGCTGAAAGCTGAAAATCGGCCTGGGCAGGAAAGGGGTGAAAGTGTCCAGTAGGGAAGTGGATATAATTGCACGGCCATTCCCTTAGGGACTCTCCCCATCTCACGGACTTCAACAACACAAATGTAGTGTCAGAAACGCACTGTTTACTTCCTCCTGTAAATTCAGAGGAGGCAGCTGTAGCCACACTTCACCGGAGGATGTCAAATATTTCTCGGTTCTACCTAGTAACACAGCCTCTGAAAACATTACAGGCCCAGGGGCTGCTAGAACCATCAGGATCCTAGGAAAACAATGCAAGCTGGCTGTTTGCTCTTGTTGACATTTCTTTAGCAGATGCCAGAGATGAATGTGTT